TTTCCTTAGGATGGCCTTCATCTTCAATTTCCACAATGAGAAATTTCTCCCATTAAATTTTTCAATATCAAATTTCGTTGCCATAGCTTCTTCTACGGATAGCTCCCACTATTTCACTATCTTGAATAGTTCTCTGGAACCTTCAAAGAATGGGTAATAACTTCTTATTTTCTTATGTTGGAGGATCTACCTTTTGGTGGCAACCACAAAGACAATAAGCGGATATTACACACTATAATCTAGCTCTGATATCAATTGTTGCGGAAGACGGCTATCGGATAGAGCAAAATCGTAACTGATAATTTGAGAAAATAAAAATGAAGATAAAAAGAGACACAAAATTTACGTGGAAAACCCCTAAATAAAATATGGTAAAAACTACGGGCAACGGTAGAAGAATTTCACTATGAGAAAATAGTAATTACAACCTCTCTTGATCTACCAAGGAGAAAACAATGATAATTCTCTCTCGATAAAAAGGAGAAAACAACTCTCAAGAAACTCTTTAAATTCTCTCTAGTATTGGAAGAAAGCTAAAATGTTTTGTGATGGTTTTGAAGCTAAATGGGATAAGGTATTTATAACTAAATTTTAAGGACTTAATCTTGTAAATACCCTAAAGTTTAGTGATTATAATTTGTAATTTATCCATACAAAAAATAAAAAATTATGCACCTACTTTCGTTGCCTTAATTGCACCGAAAGGTGCTTTGACATTCTACAAAAATGGGATGGCTGCCGTTCGATTTATCGAGTTTTAGCGACGAACATCTCGGGCCGAGCCGAACGTGGGGATTCAATGCGTTTATACGTGAATACTATGCGTTTTTTTTAATCAAAAAGCTATCGTTTCTTCTGAAAATGGTAATGGAAAAGCCGACGAACGTTCATCGTTGTCGCAACATCTTTCGAGACTTCATAAATGGCTATCTTTGCTCGATCTGTTGCTTCAAGTTAAGCCTCAATCCGAAGACACGAAAGTTGGTTTGCTTCTCGAATCCATGGATTTTATCATCGTTTAGATAAATGATGTTTATACCCGAATTCGCATTGAAATCACAAAGGTTTTGTTAAATGTATACTCGGTCCAGAAACCCGAGGCCGCGATGGCATTGAAGATTCTCCGAGAGGCCACTGCACAAGGCGAAGAACTCGAGTCGTTTTTCGAGTTATGTACGGAATTCGGCCCCTTAAACACCGGCGAAATCCCGACGGTTACTCGGATCCCGGAGGAACAAGTCGAAGAACTCCAGAAGAAGATGACATGCAATGACGACGGAGATTGTTACGAGGAAATCGACGAAAGGTCCACCATTGTTGTATACAAAGAAGAAGTAAAGGGAGCTTTGAATACTGTAATAACAGGTAAATGGGAGGTTTTTGATGAAAATACAAGGATCAATGAAGAATATAATGAAAAGAATTCATCTGTCGAAGAATCAACAGCACTCATTAATCGTTTTCCAGTTTATAATCATCGTGAAATTCCAGATCTCATATGTTTCTAGCAGTTTAATTTTGAACAATTATAATATACAATTCATTTACATTTCATGTCTAAAGTTTAGTTTTGTTTCATTTTAATGTATCACCGTTAAAAACTTACGGCGTTTAGTATTTAAACTATCAACTTTAGTCCGTTTTAGTACCTAAAATTTTAAAAGTTTTCAAAAATAACATTAAATTTTGAACATGTTACTAAAATGGAACAAAAACTAAACTTTATGTATAGATTTGAAAAAATTAAAAGTTTAGATATTAAAACGGGTCAAAACTGATAGTTTAGGTACTAAACACGTAGTTTACCCAATATTAAAATAAACAATTATTAGCGCTTATAATCTCTATAATTTAATGAGAAAGTATGCCTTAGGATAAAATATTAACGGTGACGGTTAGATTGAAGTGACCCAACCTACTACATAATAGAAAAGTTGTTAAAATATATTCTATTTTAATATTGATATACTTTATAATTAATAAATTTTAAGACAATTTTATATAATTATAGTTTAAGTCAACTCAATTCGAAAATCTTAAGAGTAATTATATATTCTTTGCATGACAATGAAATAGTAAAAATAAACTGTAAAAGTAGGTCATGATGCTGCCTTTTGTTGTTTATTAAAGTAATAAATGGTAGCAAAGATATCAAATGGCAAGGTGAAAAGGATGAATGAGAGGATGTTAGGGATAGTTCATATCTTCTATTTTCTTTAGTTATATGTTTCTTAATTTATTAAAGGGTAAATTATGCATTTAGACATAAACTATTAGTTTTGGTCTATTTTAGTACCTAAACTTTCAATTTTTTAAAATCATACCTAAAGTTTAGTTTTTTTTTTCATTTTAATACACCGCCGTTAAAAACTCTAGCTTTAGTTTCATTTTAGTACCCGTCCAAAATTTAACGTTAAGTTAAAAGGATTGAAAATTTAGGCAATAAAACAGACCAAAATTGATAGTTTAGGTATTGAACACGTTAATGTTTTAACGACGGGGTAATAAATGAAATGAAATGAAAATTGAACGTTATGTATGATTTTAAAAAAATTAAAAGTTTACGTACTAAAACAGACCAATACTGATAATTTAGGTATTAAATGCATAATTTACTCTTTTTAATATAACTTTATGAAAGTTTATATATTTATAAATAAAATCATGAATTATTTTTAGAGATGTTGGGATAGTTAATTTGATCACCAACCGAACTAAATTAACCAAACACTGATATTTGTAAAATTATATATTTTAATTCCTATGATATTTAATTAGGAAAAGGGTATATGAGGCCCATGTACTTGTCCAAAAAACCAATGTGGCATTTTTTTTACACTCTGATCCTCAAACTTATAAAAAGAATCCAATGTGGTCCTTTGATCAATGGTTTTCGTTGTTGACGTTATGATGCTGGCGTGACACTTCACGATACTCAGGTGGTGATCCACAGTACTGACGTGGCTGATGACATGACAAATGGGCTAAATTGATTTTTTTAAGTTTTTGGGCCAAATTGATTTTTTTAAAGTTTAAGGACTTATTTGATTTTTTTTAAAATAAAAATATTCTAAATTTAAAATATAAAAATATTCAAAAATTTAAATATAATAACACCAAAAATAAAAATTAAATTATTCAAAAATTAAAAGTATATATTATTATTTTTTACTTCAAATTTCACTTGACTTTTATTTATATAAATATAAATTCGTTTATCCTACACAAATTTTATTTTATATATTCACATTCAATTATCTTAAATTTTAAGTTTCTTTTTAAATTATATTCCACTAAATTTTTATAAATCTAAATTCGTTTATCCTATTCAAATTTTATTTTATATATTTACATCCAATTATCTTAAATTCTAAGTGTATTTTTAAATTCTATTTCACTATTTTTTTATAAATCTAAATTCGTTTATTTCACTTGACTTTTATTTATATAAATTTAAATTCGTTTATCATACACAAATTTTATTTTATATATTTATATCCAACTGTATTAAATTCTAATTTTTTTAAAATTCTATTTCACTATTTTTTTATAAAATGAATTAAATAAATATTATAAAATCTTTTAAAAATAAAATTTAAAAATTATGAAATTAAAAATTGTTGATAAATTATCATGAAACTTTTTAATAAAAAAATAAAAAAAATAATTATCCAATTAAGAGTAACATTTCTAGTGAATATAACGTGATATATAGAAGTAAATTTTACCTAAACTTGATCTTATAAAAAAGTAGGAATATCGACTTACCCAGCCAATTTCTATTATATACTACTATAAAAAATCAAGATAGATATGATCTACATGTGTTTGAGATTTTTTTTTTGTCACCCTAGTATTTACTTTAAAAAAATCAATAAATAGAAAATATGTCTCAACAAAATAAAAATAAAATAAAATTCACATTAGATTTTAGAAATAAATTCTGATATGAGTTTTATTTTTATTTGTTTTAAAACAAAATAATATATATTTAACTTTTTAATAATTTAATTTTTATTTTTGTATTTTATATTTAATTTTTAAATTTTTATATATTTTGAATTTGAAGTATATTTTTTTAAAAATCAAATAAGCCCTTAAACTTTTAAAAAATCAATTTGACCCTCGAACTTGAAAAAAATACAATTTAACCCACCAACCATGTCACCAACCGTGAATCTCCACATCAGCACCTGAAGTGTCATGTCAACATTATAATAGTCAATGATAATTAAAATCGTTGATTAAAGGGTCACATTAGATTATTTTTACAAATTCGAGAGTCATATTAAGTACAAAAAATTATCGAGACATTGATTTTTTTAATAAATACAGGGCCTCAGTTATCTTTTTGTCATTTAATTATAATTCGAAGTCGATTACAATTTTGAAAAGTTGTATGTGATTTCGGCGAAATAATTCATCAATCAAACTTGACTTCAGGCTGGTCGTCCACTAACGACTTCAATGGCGGATAACTTACTTTAGAAGCTATATTTAACGGATGAAAACGCGTCTTCTTGACAAACCCACATCGGAAAACTTCATTTTCTTCTATAAAAAACTTCAACAAAAGAATCACTAACCAAATCCATCGCTATTCGATGAAGAAATCATCACCGCTCTCTTGTTTGCTGCTCTTTCTACTCATCAACGGAACCGAATCAAGAGAAGATCCACCCGATTGTTCATCTTCATGCGGAGATTCACTCGAAATCCGTTACCCTTTCCGGTTAGCCGACGATCCGGTCGCTTGCGGTGATCACGATTTCCAACTCTACTGCCGAAACAACAGAACGATGATGAACTTCCACGCCGGATTATACTACGTCAAGCGAATCACCTACGACGATCACACGATCCACCTCGCCGACGTTAATCTGGCTAACGGCAGTTGTGCCCTGCCGTACCGATCGTTATCGATGGGGGAGATCGAAATGGATGATCGATACATGTCGGTCAATTTTAGTTACTCGTATACTATAAGCTATGTTTGATGTTCTTCAAACGACACCAGCAATTTGGCTGGTGACAGCAGAGTGCCATGTTTGAGTCGAAATTCGTCTGATGTTTATGTCAATACGAGTTGGTATCGATTAACCTCGTACGATGTCCCGAAAACATGTAAGGTTATTGCTGCGGTGCCGGCGTATTACGAAGAACTGGAGAACGGCTCCTATGAAACGGCATTGAAGATGCAGGAATCAGGATTTCGGATGAGATGGTCCGTCGAGTGTCGGAATTGCAGAGCCAAGGGTCGTGGATGCGTTTATAAATCTGCAGATACAGATTTTCTCTTCAAATGCGAAGCAGAATACGGTTAGTAGTATTATTTTTACGAATTGAATTCATCTTTTCAGTAAGAAAAAGATCAAATTTGAGAAATTCGGTTGTTGTTTTAAATTAAACTCAAATTATTCAAGTAAAACTCGATCAAGCTCGGATTTTTACATTTAGAACCCTCATATTCATGAAATTCTTCATTTCTAATGCAGATTACTATGCTGACCTTGTATACATATACACTGTGCTTGCAGCAATGAGCCTGGCTGGTAATTTCATTTAGTTTCTTCGATCGCTTCTACTCTAAAATTCTGCAAATGTAATGTTTTGATCCCTTTTTTTTTGTAGCTCTCATTGGGTTTATCAGATTCATCCTTCTTCCACTGGTTATCTTTGCTTTCCTTCTCCACAAATATTTGTCTACCAGAAACAAAATTGATTACGGGTAAGCCTGACAACTAAACCCTAATCCCTAATCATATAACCATTTCATATTTTCTCATACCATAATTGTACTTAAGCTCGATGTGGCTCGGTTACAACCCTAGTTGTATACTCGTGTTGTGTTTGATAGCAGGGAAGAACCTTCACAGATTCAGCAGCCATTTTCACCAGAAAGGTTCAATTATACAGATATACTTTCAATGGCAAACAATTTCAAAGACAAACTAGGCCAAGGTTGTTTTGGCACTGTTTACAAGGGACGGCTTCCCAGTGATCACGCCATTGTTGTTAAAAAGCTTGAGAGCATCAAAGTTGGTGAAGATCATTTCATCAATGTAGTTTCCATTATCGGTCAAATTCAACATCCGAATTTCGTACCAAACCTAGGGTTTTGTTCCGAGGGGTCGAAACACGTTCTCGTTAACCAATACATGCCCAATGGATCTCTCGACAAGTATATTTTCACCGACGGTGGAAATCCAGGTTTGTTTAGTTGGGAGAAAATCTGGGAAATTGTTGTGGAAACGGGGCGAGGGATCGAGCTCTTACATGGAAGATCCGATGGTGGCATTGCTCATTTAAATATTAAGCCTCAAAATATATTGTTGGATGAGAATCTCAGACCCAGAATTTCGGATTTCGGGCTATCGATATTGTACCCAAAGAAGCAGGACTTCATGCCATTTTATGGAAGAAGTGAAACGATGGGGTATATGGCACCTGAATTGATGATTTCAAGGGATTTCAAGGCCATGTCATGCAAATCCGATGTTTACAGTTTCGGAATGATAATGCTAGAAATGGCATGCAGAAGAAGGCATGTCGATGTCGATGCAATCAATTCGAGCAAAGTGCATTTTCCTACCTGGGTCTATGAACTAAATGAGAGGGGTGATTTAGAGTTCGAGAACCTGACAGAAAGTGATGCCGTAATAGCCCGAAAGTTGTTCGTAATCGGATTATGGTGCACTCAAACTCCACCATCGGATCGCCCCTCCATGACCAGAGTCCTGGAAATGTTACAAAGGAACCTCCATGATCTGGAAATGCCTCCCAAACCAGTCTTGGCTGAATACCTGCGTGAAACAGAGCCAGAGTCGGATTCCCCGAAAGAGATGCTATTACCTGAGACCGTGGAGAGAAGCTCATAGTAATATCAAAGAACTTTTCTACCACAATTCTTTCAAATTGCTACTGTAACTCACCATTAAAGCTCTTCACCAGTCTGCCTTCATCTGTACTTTGTATGTATATGTTCTTCACAAACTCTTATAATTAACACTACCCTAATTTAACAAAAATCAGCATCTTCTTCGATTCTTACAGCAGATTTGACATGGCTAAATTTCTCATTGGCATATGGGTAAATCCTAGGCTATCAACAACGATATTCCTCGGAAAAAAACACCCCTCCTATCTAGGGATGACAGTGGATCTGATATAGGAAATTTTTGAAATATACAGTAAATCTAACATACGAAAGATGTTAGAACATATCAAATGATAAAGACTTTCAAACAAGTTTAAACATAAATGCAAAAATGTCATACATGTCAGTTAAAAGATAGCGAAGGAAGCAGGCATTGGCTGCCAGTCTTTAATCAGACTTTCCGGGAAGATCCAACAAATAAAAACTCATTCGAAAATTAAAAGTTTGTGAACGGAATAAATGGATGTTCTTAAAGCATAAGCATAAATGAAAAACTACAAAGTTCGAAAGAACCACGGTGGCCACATGAATATATACAGGTGAAGCAGACCATAAGTGATGGAGCTCAACTATCATTACCACGGAGTTTAAAGCTACCTAATAGTGACAAACTTGTTGGTACCGTGTCTTGCCCAATGGCTCCTTAAATCAATCGGATTACTGAAGTTATAATTTTCAGCTGTGAGTTTCTCGAGGACCTTCTTGAATGCCCCCTGACTCATTTTCCGGCCAGCAATCCTTGCACCACGCCTTTTGGTGCTCATTGGCAACGGATACATGGATATGTTTGTGGTACAACAAGCAGATTGCCAACCACCACAGCCCCATCGATAACATTGCTGAAGGGTTCCAGTGCAGGAGCAAACCGGAATCGGAATACCTGAAATATCCATGTCGAACCCATTTATTTGAAAATCAATACTCTTCTTTGCTGGATTCGAACGTTGAACCATAGAATTGGCATTTTCCTTCGACTTTCTAGGCTTTTTGGCCTTCAGCATCTTAGGGACAGCCCCATCCTGCCTTTTCCTCGGTTGAACACCATCCTTACTAGCTGGCGGCTCTTCAACTCTACTCACCACCGTCTCATCTCTTGTTGAAGAATCAGGTGGTCGCTGCAAATTCGGCAATGAATGAGCTGTCGAGGTTTCAGGAAGAATGCCATAATTGGGCCCAGTGACCGGTAACATGCTGAAAAACTTTTCTCTATCATTAATCCAACTATCCCGAACATAATTCGTGGGGATATGTGCCTCAGAAACAACACAATCCCGCGGGTGAAAGGCTGCATTGGTATTAACCATGAGATTGGGGTCACGACCGGGAATAAAGGGCTTTGTGTCCCGTTCAACCATGCTCGGCATTAGCTGCAGACCCAGATGTCCTTTAAAGGACGGTTCATAGTAACCCCAATTACGCATATTCAACACATCATCATCCATGAAGCTACATATAGTTAAACAATACAACAGAATTATTAACCTTTTACCATGATTCAAATTATTCCATCAAGGCCATTCAAATACCAACGAATACTGTATTCAAAATAGAATCTAAATTGAAAGAGAAAAAAAAGGAAACATCAAAACAGATTCCAAGGCTTCAACAATGAAATGCGTTGCAGTTACATGAAGGGAGATCAAACTCAGATCCAATTACATACAATGATAGATAACGATCAGACAAGCAACATCAAAAAATTCAAAGAATGATAAATAATCTGTTCGATTCCCAAGGAAACAAATGGAAAAAAAATGTTACATTTCTAACTCAAACAGAAAATCCTACCTCCAATAAGCTAAATTTCAAGAGGGAATGTCCACATTTTCGCACATCCAGTATATAGCAGAAGTGGGGGGGAAAAGATTCCAAAGAAGCAAAAATGGAAATCTAATGATACCAATATAGACAAAAATTGGAAACTTTCAGATTCAAACTATGTTCTAATTGCCCACATTTTCCCAACATCAAAACTTTCCATGCATCAAAACCCATAACCAGATCTGCTAAATAAAACATGAAAAACACAAAAACAAATATTGAAGAAAAAAATTGAATCTTCGCTGTTTTAGGATTTCTATTGGGAACTTCATCAGAACCATAGACCTAATTCAAAATCCCTCCATCAAAGCTCAAATCAAACAAACAAATAAATAAACAAAATATATTAATAGTGTAACAAATGAGTTAGGGACCCATAATTCCAAAAAATAGTTGGAAAAGGGAAAGCGATGAGAGATAAAGAAGCCACCAAATGGAAAATAAAATAAAAGGAATGAAAGAGATGTAAGTGAGAGGAAAGATAAAAACTTACTTTGGGGTGCAGATGGATCTTTAGGGTTTGCCCTTTCTGGAGAGAGAAAGAGGAGAGAGAACACTCGGAGGAAAAATAACTAAAAAGATATGAAAGAGAAAGGAAAGAGGATAGAAACTTAAGGAGATAAAATAAACAATTAGGATCAAGGGTATTTTTGTTTTGTAATTCTTTATTTTATGTGAATATATTATTAAAAAGTTAAATTTGATTAAGAAGAAACTTAAAATAGTGAAATCCTATTTAGGGCAGTAAATAAGATGAGATAGATCGTGAGTCACCCGAGATTGATTCGATCAAAGTTTGATACTCGACTCGAATAGACTCAACTTGAGTGCTCAACGAGCCGAAATGAACTACTTGCTACTCGACTCGAAAAGCTCGTGAACAGCTCGAAAATATAATATATTAATATTTTATTTAAAAAAAATAAATTATTAATAATGTTAACTTTTATATGTTGATTTTTTAAAATACAGTATAAGGTTTTCATGTATTTAATATTCATGTTCGAGTTTGAGTTTGAGACTTCAATCGTGTTAAGTTTGAGATTTTTTTTTTCATTTCGAACATTTTCGAGCTTTTACGAGCTTCAATTCATGATTTCTAGTTCGAGTCGAACTTGAAAATTTTAGACTCATCAATTTTCGAGTCAAGTTGAGTCGAGCTCTATTTCAGAGTTTTCGAGTCGAGTCGAGCTCAGCAATACTTGAACTCAACTCGGCTCATTTGCAGCCCCAATCTTATTATATTTATTCAAAGATAACTTTTAATTATTTGACATTGAATGTTCATATACTAACATTTAAGGTACTCAACTCCGATACTTCAAAAAATAACAAAATCACTTAATTTGTACTATATTTAATTTTATTAAAAGTATGTTCAAAAGATAATAAAAAATTCAAACTGATGAGACTCAATTGAAAATTTTTCAATATAAATGTTTAAAACTTTTAATATTTCATAACTATTTTCATTCTTTTATAAGCTATTATATGTTAGTTTGTTAGAAAAAAAAAGTATAGAGTCGTTTGTGGTGGACATCAAAGTGCAGGTAAGAACAAAGATAGGATTGGAACATTTTATGCTTAAGTATGGGCCCACGTGTCATGCTCATGTCGGGGATAAATCAAAGGTTAACTACATCAAATGTCCCCTAATAACTCTGCAGGTTGTAAATTAGTATCCAACTCCAAACATTTTTTATTTGAGTCCTAAGAATATCAACAAGATCTTTGCATCGATCTAACCATTAATTTAGACATCAAATACCAATATTCGTCTATAAATACAGGAAGGAGAACGACATGCATTCCTTAATACCTCTCTCATATGTTCTCCAATACTAGACTTCACTCATTTCGAGTTTCCTAGCAGAACCCTCAAAATCACGACGATTACAATTCTCTACATACGATATGAACTGCCACGAGAATCACCCTAACACTCAACCCAAGCGAGAGTTTTCAGAAAGTTCGAAACATGTTGACATTATATTTTGTTTGGGACTTGTATTTGATGTTCTAATTGAAGGTGGGACAAGCTTTTCTCATGTCTTAATGGTTAAATATAGTGACAAAATTGTAATACATGGAAAATAACAAAATAATACAAATTCATGCTATAATACGCTGCAGAGGCAATTTGTCTCGCATCATACTAAGGGGTGCAAAAAGTTCCCTTCATAACATAATGCACATAACATCAACTAGAACTTGAACATGTGCAGAAAATTTTACAAGCTCTATCAAGTGCATGCAATGAAACTCCCAAGTTTAATTTATTCATGCAATCACCTCTAAAATGCTGCATTTAACAAGCTGAAATTTGCGTTCCAACATCTTCTGTTAAGTGTCTGCAATGAAACTCGAAGTTTAACCCGATTGGTTCATCCAACATCTTCCATTAAGTGCAGGCACTTAAACTCGAAGTTTAACCTCATGCAATCACCTTCATATAACGGCACCCACAAGCTTTTGGGTTCGAATTCCAATGTCTTCCATTAAGTGCATGCGGTGAAACTCAAAGTTCAGTTCAATTGGTTCAGGAAACCACCTTTGAAAAATGACATCTAATAGGTCTAAATATCAAATTCCAGCATCTTCTATTAAGTGCATGCAGTGAAATCTTGAACTTAACTTGATTGATTCATGCAGTCACCTTTAAAAAAAATGGCATCCGACAGGTTTGAAGTTTGGATTCTAAACGGATTTAACTTTTTTCTCGTATCCTCAAACTGCAATTTTCCATTGTAGGCTTCTACTACAGAAACAATGCCTCCAAATAATCGTCAATGTAAGCTAAGCATGGCCAGTGATCGGTTCTAATACGAACTAAAGTTGAAGCATCACTTACTTCCATTTGGAACAAGAGATGGAACTTCGGGGGAAGGAAAATCAAGACTAGGATGCAACCCATACTTCTTTTGCCGATGTTTAACTGGCTTTCCTGCTCGTCTTCATTTTCGACAAAAGTAAGATAGAGAGGCATAGTGTCTTGATTGGTCCCCGAGGAGGTAGCATCAAGCAAAAGGCCTGAGACGCATCTTTCCATATGATGTCCTTGATAGTTCCTCTCTCCTTTACCATGTTAACAAGACGCTCACCACTTACGCTTACAACAAATGGTGTCAGATAACGTTCGGTAGCATGGATTAGAGAATCCGGAAGAATTTCAAGCAGCTTCACAGATCTCGTTCCATTAACAGCCGCAAACCCCTTGCCATTCTTTAGGGGGAAAGTCTCCCGTCCGGTATTGGAAGTAGTGTCACATGCGTCCCACAAAGCATCGAACAAGTCTGAGTAATAATCAGGTAAACTATCCTCCTGGATATCTGGTGGGGCGATAGCTTTGAGAAATAAGTCTTCAATGCCCACCATAATACTTTGCAGCTGGCCGGTGATGATCTGACCATCTTCCCCGTTTGTTTCAATGAAAACATCAACGACACCAGGTGTTGGCTCACGTGCTTTCAGCTCAATCATTGTAGGAGCTTTATAGATTTCTTCACCAAAATCATCGTGCTTAGCAACGATGTCTAGTGAATCAGTTTCAGCAGGTAAACCACTGACCGGAGGTTGACCAAGAAGAAAAGGTACGTGACAAGATGGTAAAGACCCGTATTGAGCCAGTGATGAAAATTTCAACACCGTTGCATATATGGCAGGGAGGGCATCTACACCATGTAACCCATTCTTTGAGGACTCACCTCCCCATACATGATTAAAAGGCTCTGACTCAAATCTCAAATAGCATGGAATTTTAACCTTAAGCCCTCGCATATGTCTAAAATCAGGAATACATGAGAAATGTCTCCTTAATATCTCCAATATATCCGAAACTTTTGAGTCCATCACATACAGTGGTGCCTCTGGTTTATTAATTCTCTTGTCTTCTGATATAGTCTGAAAATGAATATCGGCATCGAGCTCTCTTTCATCTGTCGAGGCTTCAGTATCCCTAAAGCCACCTGAAAAATACAGTATGCTACTCCCGACCCCTATAGGTAATAAAGACAACGACCGAGATTGTTTGACAAGTAGTGTTATCACCCGTTCAAGAAGGATATAGGATGAAATGTTCTTAGATTTCTTGACATCCGGATAATGTTGAGGAGATGGCACGCTGAAGAATGATACAGAATGAGATGATGGGGAAATACCAAGGAGTTTCTCTCCAAGGTTCAACATTCCTCTAAGCTTGACTCCGGGTACACAAATCAGCATCCTCATGTAGATCCTGTAAAATGACATGACAGAAAATAATCGATAACTTGAGATTCCTTATAGTTTGACTATTGTTCTTCCTTTTGGATTAACATGGAACTGCAAAACGTAAAAAAAGATAAAACAAAGCCACCACTTCATCATACCTTGCATGGTCACGGACCTCCAAATCGGGGAAGTAGAGGCAGGTGAATGCAAGGAGACGGGATAAACCAAGAAATAATCGAGAGCTCTGATGGTGGGTCAGCATGGTTCTGCAAATGCCAAGGACCCTACTACCCTGAGACCAAGACTTCACACCAGTCTCTGGGCCATGTTTCTCAACAAGGAAAGCCATGAATTTGGTTAGCAGCTCTAACAACCTACGTGGAGGTATTGTTTGATTTTCAGCAATTCTATCAAAAATTGGGAAGTACGAAACTAGTCTATAGTCAATTACGACTCTAGGATGTACATTTGCATCAATTGTCTGAAGCAGGCGCTCTCCCAACCAAAGATGCTTTTGGCAGCCCAACAAACGGTCAATAAAAGAAACAATGACAGGGACCAATCTCTGAAACTCCAGTATCAAGTCAACCAACATCCCCTGAAAAACAATGTTACAAATATTAGCATAGCCCATAGGGGTATAGTTTTTTGGTTTCGCAATTAGAACTAAGAACAGACAAAACATAAACTTCAGGTCCTCTGATTCTGCATCAATCTATGGTGCCATTGCCATATATAAATGCCATCACAACAATTATAATATCTATATGATAGTCTATTGTAGACAAAAATTATGGATAATGGACGCTTGATGTGCTAAGTAGATGTAAATTAGACACACTAAGGCATAATTAAGGGAATACTTTTGCAGGAGGAAGGTTAAACTGGGAAAAAGCAAATACCTTCAAATGATTGAAAATGGCGGACTCCATAAGTGCAGTTGTGGTGGAAGGATCAGCATCAGAATGAGAAGATGACCTATCAAAAACTTATGAAATTTGTGGAAAGCCACTGCGGTTTCAGTGCTCCAAGGAGGCATCCATTTGAAAGCCGAAACCGATACTAGACCATCTTGAAATAGATTCACCACTGAATTCTCGTCCCCAACAATCATATCCGAAACAGTTTGATGTTTCAACGAATCAATACAAACAGAACAGAAGGCGAGTAAATCTAGCTTAAGTGCTTTCAGCGAAAGTGGATCAAACACAGTCGGATAAAACCTGAAACCATCTCTACAACTTCTTCTTCTCCGCATCTTCTCCATTCACCATCAATCCATTCAAAAAGCCCATCAACCAATGCACTGAAAGCAATCGAAACACCAAATACTGCTGCGATTCCAATGAAAACAACAAAAGTCTCCATACAATCTCTGTCTCCTGCTCATTAAACACCTCAGAAAAACGTGAATACATAATCAAAACAACATGATACAACAAGGGATTGAACGAATAAATCATCCCAAAAAACTGAACTTTCAACATAGAAGGCTGCAAATCCAAATCCACTGCTAATGTCATTATCATCCCCATAAAAACCATCATCCCACAAGGAGTTAAAACCAGCGGCCATTCCAACAAAAACGCCATGGCTCTTCTCAATTCCTTATACTTCAACTCTAATAACCCTTCCTTTTCCGATCCTAAAACCCATTGTGGTATATTAAAAGGAACCAAAGGCATCAAAGTATTCAAAACAGAAACATTCAACTTTCGATTCAAAATACTATGAATTACAGTCGTAAACAACAAAATGTAGCTCTGCGAAGCGTGGGTACGCTCACTTTGGCATAAACTCCATAAATGACCAGCAATATCGGAGAGTAAAGAGGGATAAGCTTTTTCCAACTCACGCAAACACTCACAAGCAATAGCACGCGCGTGGCGGTCCGGTCCATGGTTCGGCCGGTTTATAACAGCCAACAAAAGTTCGACCACGGATTCCGTCAACCGAGCCTGGACGGACTCGACGGAGTTAGTAGAGATCAAAATGGAGGTCGTCGAAATCATAATCTGCTCTTTCAAAGCGTAAGTGTCGTGGACACCATCGATCGGAGATTGAACGACGGTGCGTAGAGTTTCGACGAGGCGTTCCAAGAGGGACGAAAGTGAATTTGGGGGGAACAAGAGGTCGGAAAACTCTTCGAGGAAGATTACGAGGGGGATTTTGAAAGGGAAATCCTTTTTTGAGGATTGAAGAAACGGCGAGTTCGGAGACGGGAGGGGAAATGGAGCACCATTTCTCGCGGCGGAAACCGCCGTGCTGGAAATCTTCAACTAAGGATTCCCAGTCTTGAGGTGAAATCGGATTTGGCGGTGGTTTTTCGGCCATTTCAGCTTCAATTTTTACAAAAATTTGGCAAAAAACACACACACTAGATTTTAGGGCTTTGAGTTGAAAAAAAAAGAGGAAATTGAAATAGCATTGTTTAATTTTTACTGATCCAAGCTGAAATTCAGTCGACATTGGCAAAACTGACAGCGAAGAAAAGGCACTTGCAGACAGAGGAGGTTTCCTAATAGTGTACCATATTAAAATTTTTAAATTCTCGTTTCAGTCCTTCCATTTTTCTAAGATACGAACTTTAGTATTTTCAGTTTAATTTATATTCCAAATTTTCAACTTCTCCTCCCCTAGTTATTCTCACTAAAGTGCTAGTGTGTTTAAAAATAAAATAAATTTCACATATTAATTGAATATTTGATGGGTTTTTTTTAAAATTCACATATTCTCACTACATTTGAAATATACAAGTCAAATTTTAAACACAATATACTAGAGAGAAAAAAACTATCACAACTCTTTCTTGTCTAATTCTCCAATTCTTTCGTCAATAGTATGTTAACATTTCAGGTTCCATAATTTAATCGTGATAATTTAATTGGGACAAAACTTATATTTTAAGAACTCGATTAAGATATTCAAGACTTTAAAAACTAATTTAGAATCTAGGTTATAGTTTGAGGATATTTTATGAATTAACCAAAGAAGATAAGAGAGGAGGGTCACCACTCACCAGCCATGTTAGAACCGTGTCTGTGGCACCTTATCTTTTCAAACTATCCTAAGGTGAAAGTGCAACACTGGTTCAACCATGGCTGAAACACATACGAAAATGGCCTACACAATTCTCACATCTCCGATGCTACCCTTCATTCCAAAGGCAATGAACTCCTTAAAAACCGATCGTTTTGCCATCGTCGCAGCCGTTAAAGCTTTAAAACTCCGCAATTATCAAAGAGCTTCCCACGTTTCCTGTGCTTCAAGAAGAAGAATTAGATACGAGCAAGACGATGATGAAGACGAAGGAGAGAATGAGTACAATGAAGAGATCGCGATACTTGAGGTTTACAGCCAATCTGCTAGAGAAGAAGCTCTTATCGTCCATGCACTCGTGGATGAACAGCAAGTTGAAGTTCTGATTTTCAAGGTATGATCATTTTTGTTGTTGTTGTTTTGATCTGTCTACGGCATGGCAGTCGGTATTGTTTTGTTCCGGTTCCGGTTGGTTCCAACCGTTCCGATCTCTGCCCGTTTCGGTCCAGCATGGAAGTCGGTGCTGTTCCGGTAACGGTCAGTGCCTACCGTTCTGTGTTTCCATCTGTTTTGCTCGATACTGGCAGGGGCAGGGAGGTAATTCACACCAAACATGGTAAAATTGATGTATAGATAAATTAATACAATGGCAAAATTGTATTTTGGTCCCTCTAAATAAATTCATTTCTTGCCTCTAATTTTTTAGTTATGGTTATCATTATATTTTAAAGCACTAGTAATTATTGAAATTAAACCGTATTTTCTACCAATTTTTTCCTGATTTAATTATTCTTTTAAGATTTTTCAGTTTTAAAATTAACAAAATTAGACCTTTAGTTTTCTGGTTTAATTAGTCTTTAAGACCTTTAATTTTAAAATTAGTAAAATTAAACCCAACTCCATTAATTTCATAATTTAAATCATATTTATTTCAAAGTTAAACAATCTAAATCTCTCCTAATTCAATCATAACTTGGTGCTTTGTACTAACAACATTTGATATGACATGAATGCAGGGGTTTTCTTCATGTTTGAGCTATGAGACTTCACCAGATCCATCGAAAAGTGTGATTCCTAGAAGAGCAGTTATCAATTCCATTGATAGAATCAAAGGTCCTTTTGATCCTTCCAACATTCAATACATTGAAAAGGGTCTCCAATGGGAATCTTTCAAGGCCCGCTTAGCTTCTACCTAGCACCAAGGTCAGTTCCATGAGGGAGAAATACATTGAGAAAATTGAAAATCGCTCCGAATCATCGTGTTCCGTTCGGTTTTTATTAAATTCGGGCCAATTAAACATATCGGATAAGTCGGGTCACTTTGATTTCTAACTCATATTTTGGTTGCTCACCCCTGTATACTATTGGCCTCAGCAAGTCATTGAAGATCGATAAGCTGAAAATCAAGAAGCCAAAAATGGATCCATTATACTAGATCACTACAGCCTGAAGCTATGTTGTTCCGACTCTTCATTTTGCTTGAAGTAACTGTGTCCGAAAAGTATTTGGGCATGTGTTGAATACATACACATATACCAACACTCAAACCCAACTACCCGAGTCCAAATAAAGACTTGGTGTACCGTATTAAAATGAATCCCAACATCGACATGTAACCGATACGAAAGTATATCAGTGATCCTAAAGTATGTAAGAATCCCCAATAAATATATATAATGTCGTGCAGCACATATTCCAACACCCTCTAAACTGCATGTAGAGATGCTCCTTATATCTTTTCCCCAAAGGAAACGGCATTGATCAGCATAGACATTCAGTCCTAAGCAACAGAATGGTAGGTGTCAATTTACTAGGTTACTGAGTCCAGTATCTTTTACTAAGATGGGTTTTGTATATCCTTGGAGGGTCTGGGGTCATATCCTCATACCAATGTCTGGATATGTGTTTGACACAGATAACAGAAATAAGTACTTCAATAGAAATGAATAGTAGTAGTATCATAGTGTGGTACCATGGCTGCTAACTCCACTATTTATAAAGGACGAATGAAACAAACTAATAGGGAGACTAATTTTAACTCAAGTAATACACGAAAATGAAGATTAAAACCGGAACAACTATATAAATAATAAAAGCACCTTCCAGTAAGCAGCTGAGCAGCCGATCCCTTGGAGTTACTGAACCGCTTGGCCCTGTTCTCATGTTCTTGCTCCACCCGCATGGCGGCAACTTCTTTCTCCATGGCAGCTACTTCTCTTCTCATCTTTTTAGCCTCAACTTCCATTGCCTTTGTCAATGTTTCCACTTTCTTAGCGAGCATCTGAAAAATACAAGGATTACAAGAGCATTTCATCCTTATCTTTCAGGTTTTGATCTTTCTCCTGACCAGTTTTCCTCAAAGCTATAACCTCTTTCTGCAGCAAATCATACAATATCCCCGGAACATTATCCTCAGTGTCTACTGGCAGGAAATCATTTGTTTTTCCATTACTTGGCGCCTCATCCTCCTTTCCCTCAGAAGGCCGATTTAACGAAGAATTTGAGCCGGTTCCATTTAAAAGCACTTTAGCCCCATCTAACTATCTCGTGCCTCCATCAAATGACTTGGATGTTCCTTTAGCATGCTTCAACACTGTACTAGAAGACAAAGAGGGTCTCAATTGAAAGCTTGGTGATATCTTGAATAAAGATCCATTCAATGTAAACTTTGAGTAGTTATCAGCTCCACCAAGAGACTGACGCCTAGATCGCCCGTTACTCATGCTTCTTCCATCTGATGTATTGCGACTAACGCTGTTAGAAGATCCTCTCAAGTTTTCTTCTAGAACTTTAAGCCGCAATTGGTATTTCTCCTGGAAAATCAGAGAAAAAAATCTTATTTTGAAATGAAAAGCATCAACATAGATAACAGAAAGGAAACTATCACAATCAGACTGTTACTTTCAATTGTGCTTCAGATTTTGCAGCTCGCTCGGTTATAGCAAGCTTGTCACGAAGTTGCTGCATTTCTGCCTGGAAGAAATTAAGTCCACAATTAATAGAAAGTATTAATGCAAATGCCTGTAGTTTTATTCAGTGGCAGAAACTGTCCACAAAAACCTGCAAGAATCTTCGCTCTTCAAGCCATTGTTTTACTGGCATCACTTTCCACTCATTTGCTACAACTGTGGCCACTCTATTAGCGGTTACTTTTTCACGTGCCAGCTCTCGATCAAGAGTTTTTCTTTCCTCCTAAGAACACAAGATTATCATTCATTTTTAGAAGAGTTTTAGGGCTATATCAACAAAAAGGAATCAGACAAACTAGGGCATGTAAAATCTGGGCTTTACATTCATCTCCTGAACTTTCCGTTGATAATCTCGAACTGCATTTGCAGCAACACCACCAGCATGAAGAGCCTCTTCCAGCTCCCTTACTGTTTGTGTTGTTGAAATAGAGAGAAGAGTAATGAGAAACAATGGCTTGAGTTTTCCATTGATTAAGAGTGAATATATATACACAAAATTGGACACATAGAAATAGGAAACTAGCCTAGAGTTAGGGGATTACAACTAATTACAAGGCATAGAAATAGGAGATTAGCCTAGAGTTAGGGGATTACAACTAATTACAAGAATATTATAATTGATTACAATAATTTAAAATATAGATAAAATCTATTATAATTAATTCTCTAATATGCCCCCTCAAGATGGAGCTCCGGAGGAGACACCAATCTTGACCCTTAAATCTTGGAATCGGCTTCGTGGAAGCGGTTTGGTAAGAGCGTCGGCAAGTTGATCTGCTGAGGAAACATGAGTAACACGAAGAGCACCTGATTGAACTTGACCCCGAATAAAGTGATAGTCAAGTGCCACATGTTTCATGCGCAAATGAAAGACTGGATTAGAGCAGAGATAGGTGGCACCAACATTGTCGCAGTAGATAACAGGCGGTGTAGAAAGAGTGATGCCAAGTTCTGTGAGAAGGGAACAAATCCAATTGAGTTCAGAAGTAGTAGCGGCAACTGATCGATACTCAGCCTCCGTGGAGGATCGAGCAACTGTACGTTGTTTCTTGGATGACCAAGAAATAGGATGACGACCAAGATAGACAATATAGGCACTCGTTGAGGTATAATCATCTTTGTTTCCAGCCCAATCAGCATCTGAGAATGCATGAAGGGAAAGTGGATTTGCCTTGTGAAGGAATAATCCATGAGTTAATGTGCCACATAGATATCGAAGCAGTCGTTTTGCAGCATTCCAATGTTCAGACGTCGGGCGATGCATGAATTGAGAAAGCTTGTTGACAGCATATGCTATGTCTGGGCGAGTGAGGCAAAGATACTGTAGACTGCCAACAATTGTTCTATATTCTGTGCAGTCAGTTAGAGCTGTACCTGAATGAAGTGTAAGATTTCCATCTGTAACAAGTGGTGTAGCAACAGGTTTTGCACCAATCATTTTTGTCCGGGCAAGAAGATCAGTGATGTAGCGCCTTTGAGTAAGCAGCAGACCGGATGGAGTAGTTAGAACCTCAATGCCGAGAAAATAAGACAATGTGCCAAGATCCTTGATTGAAAATCTTTGTGCCATGAGGTCAATGTAGCGCTGAATAATATTGGTGTTGGTGCCTGTGAATAATGTCATCCACATAAACAAGTAGATATATAGTAGTGTCACCTGAGTGAAGAATGAATAGGGAAGTGTCTGCTTGAGAGTTTGTGAACCCAGACTCAATGAGGAATTGGTGAAGTTCAAGGTACCAAGCCCGTGGGGCCTGCTTGAGTCCATATATTGCCTTCTTTAGTTTGCATACATGTGTTGGATTGTCTTTATCAACAAATCCTGGAGGCTGGGCCATGTAGACATCTTCGGAAAGATGGCCCTGAAGAAAGGCATTATTAACATCCAATTGTCGCAATTGCCAACCTCTACTGACTGCCAGGCTTAGAACAAGTCGTATTGTTGTCGGCTTGACAACCGGACTAAAAGTGTCATGATAATCCACTCCAGGTATTTGATGAAAGCCTTTGGAAACTAATCTAGCTTTGTACCTGTCAATAGAACCATTAGGAAGCCGTTTAATACGAAAGACCCACTTACATCCAACAAGATTCTGCAGAGAAGTAGATGGAACAAGCTCCCAAGTTCCATTCCGAACAAGAGCATCAAACTCATCATTCATAGCTTGTCTCCATTTGGGATCTTTTAGGGCTTGAGAAACAGTATGAGGCTCAATGTCTGATGGTTGAGAAATGATAGCAGTGAGGTTTATTTTGGTTAGGGGTTTATGGATGTTGTTTTTCGATCTAGTGGTCATGGGATGGGTATTTTGATGGGTGGGTTGCGCTATGATTGAAGCAGAAGAGGTCTCAGAATTGTGTGGTTCTAGTGGTAAATGGTCGACGATGGTTTCTTGGCGATTAACCGAGCTGTGTTCGGGTAAAGGGAGGTCTATGGATAGGGATCGACGGTCGACTGATGAGGAAGGGCAGTGGTCTGTTTGGGTATTTTGTGACGGATGTTGACATGAGGAATCCCTTTGTGGAGGCGTATTGAGTGAGCCACTTGAAATTGGTAAAATTTGGACCGGGGGAAGCCATTTGGAAATGATCTCTGGGGTGGGACGCGCTAGATGGATTTAGTGAGTGCTAAAGGGAAATGAGTTTTCAAGAAATTTGACATGACGAGAAATGTATATTTTAGAAGTGGATAGAGCGAGACAGATATATGCACTTTGTGTTAAAGAGTAGCCAAGAAAAACACAAGGAGTGGAACGAGAGTCAAGTTTGCTGAGAATAAGGACGAAGCCACGGATAACATAAGCAACCAAACACCCGAAGTTTAGTGTAGTTGGGTTGAGACTCAAAGAGTTTCTCAAAAGGAGATGAAAAATGTAGTGTGGGTGTGGGCATACGGTTGATGAGATATACAGCAGTGGCAAAGGCGTAAGTCCAATAAGTTAAAGGCATTGATGCATGAGTAAGGAGAGATAGACCAGTTTCAACAATATGTCGATGACGTCGTTCAGAAAAACCATTATGTTCTGGTGTATGGGGTGGTGTAGTAAGATGTGATATACCATTGGTGGAGAGAAAACGATCAAGGGCTTGATATTCACCACCATTATCTGAATAGAGGGTAATAATTCGGTGTTTAAATTGGTTTTCGACTAATGCCTTGAAACGTACAAAGACGTCATGCACATGAGATTTTCGTTTAAGGGGATAATACCAAATATATCGTGTATAATGATCAACAAAAATAACATAGTATTGAAAACCATCAACAGAATAAACAGGAGAGGTCCAGA